TGGGAGTAGCATCTAAATCTCTATTAGGGACCTTTGGGGGATAGTAATATATATTCTTGTTTTCTTGGCTGTATGGCCTTTGAGGTGTTTTTGGTGGATCATCATCCGCTGACACTTCAGTAATCGGATAATTATTCAAGTCATCTAGATTAATTTCAAGTACCTTGGACAGAGCTGTAGTTTTCATCAGTATGAAATTCTTTATTCGCTTCAACATCTTCAGATGATATCTCAAACAGCGATTTTGGTAAAGGTTCACGTTTTTCTTGGCTGTTACTTTGCTGAGATCCAAATCCTGATTGAATTAAAGATGCAGACGGGACATATTCACTGTATTCACTTTCAGCTTTTTCTGGTTCTGTCAATTTTTCACGTTTACTATTGGCCTAACATTAATTCCATGTACCTTTTTGTTTCGGCAATATAACGATATGGCAATAACAATTAGAATCGCTGCTATGAATGCACCAATTGCTACAAGTTTTAAAAACAACTGGGAGTTTCCCCCTGAACTGTCTCCCGTATATCCAGGAAATTGATCTCCAGTACTGTTGGCCACCGACAAGTTCCCAATATTATAATCACTAAACCTTGGCATTTGCTTCACTCGATCTGGAATTGGTTCCTGCAAAGTGTTGTTTGCTAAATTCCTGATATTAACAACATTTTACAATGTAATTAAATTTGTTAGTGAACCTAGTTGCGGTGGGATTGTACCGTTTAAATTATTGTTGTCTAGAAGCAGTTGTTGCAAAGTCACCCAGTTACCAACTTCTGGTGGAATTGGTCCAGTAAGGTTGCAATATGATAAATCACTAATGTAAATTCAAATATACAGCACTCGGAGGTTTTGCAAATTTCCAAAGGTTGTCGGCAGAATTTTGAAGTTATTCAAGTATGTTGTATTAGACCAGTGACTGTGGTTAAAAACAAAATTACATTTCAATGATAGAGTCGCCTTGGCATACTGTTTTGGATTGATCGCAACATGGAGCAGTTGGTGCAATTAATGCTATCCATTTACATTCACTGCTGGTCATCAGTATGCTAAGTTTTTCTGGGACCTGAATTGGTCCTTTCACCATTTTGTCCTTTTGAAACAAAGATAGACCGCAAAAAGCAACTGAAATAGAATTCACATACATAATTGAAATAGGGCTGTAGGCGCATAATTATTCAGCCAAGCGCTCTGAAAGTCCACTATCCGCCTGGTATTTACCGTGAAAAGTTTCATTTCAAACAGACGAGTAATCCCACTCATGGATATTTGCTACAATTGGAATATAATTCATTTCCTTGAGTGTTACTATTGTTCTGTTGGAGTATTCAGCAATGCGAGACCAAAATAATGTTGAGATTCTATTCGATTGAACCATAGTGATGAAGAATATTGCACTTTAGTTCCAGTACGTGGAACGATCAATCTGTCATTTGATGGATTTGGAGTGCAGGGAGGATTTTTCATTTTTCGAATCTGATCAATGACAGACGTTCAACCAGGATCTATTAATTTACATGAACTACCGCTTCCACAATTACAAGCTGTGCGTCAACAAATTGAAGAAGTATTATTGTGTTAATTCAGGAACTTCAAGTGCTTACAAATTCTTTTGCAAAGCTCAAACAAGCACAAAGCAAATTCTCTGAATCTATAGAGTCTTTGAAATCAGTTACTCCTGGGAACCAAGGAAGAGAGTTGCTTGTACCTTTAACAAATTCTTTGTACGTTCCAGGGATTCTTGACGACTCGACAACTGTGATCGTTGACGTTGGAACCGGATATTTTGTAGAAAAGGTAAAATTCACTAACGTAGAACATTGAAGACGCTGCCGATTACTACCAAAGAAAAGTAGATTTCGTTAAAGGAAATTTGGCCAAGTTGGAAGAAACTGTAAATCAACGAAATAACCAGCGCAAGATATTGCTCTCTGTGATGGAGCAAAAGTATTTGGAACAGCAGCAACAGCAAAAAGCAGAATAAATAATTTTTTACTTTTTTAATGAAGTTAATTCTCAAGGATTTTACCTGTTATGAGACCAAGACCAGATATTACATAATTGGATCAAATACCTCAAAGGACGCTTACCGAATTGCAAAGCTTGACAAGACATCACCGAATGAAGTGTCGTTTGTGGATGATCAGATCACGTATTCACTAACTGAAATGCAGGATCTGCTCGCAATGATTTCTAACGGCAATAAATCAACAGGCGGATTAAAGAAAACGCTAGACTTTTGCGGAATTTTTGGATTTGTTCAATTCCAAGATGGATATTACTTGCTGTTAATCACAAAAAAGTCCCCTGTTGCATTAATAGGCGGACATTATATATACCATGTCGATGATACCGCAATGATACCGATTATGGATAAACCGAAATCAGCTATTGAAACAAGATACTGTACTATATTCTCTCAAGTTTTCAACTCCAAAAATTTCTATTTTAGTTACACCTATGATATCACTAATAGTTTACAGAATAACCTGACTGGATGCAAGATTAACGACATGTTTGTGTGGAACAGTTACTTGACTGAAGGATTTGACCTGGGAATATGGACAATACCGGTGATTCACGGGTTTGTTGACCAATCCAAAATATCTGTATACGGGCATAATGTACTTGTTACACTGATAGCGAGAAGATCTAGGTACTTTGCAGGAGCCAGGTTTTTGAAAAGAGGTGTAAATGAAATGGTTGATACTGTTAACAAAGGTAGTTACCAACTTACCAAAGGGATATGTAGCAAATGACGTTGAAACAGAACAAATTGTAAACGATGAGTCTACAACAATGTTTTATGCTCCAAATAACAGTGAAAATCCAAAACCGTGCTATACAAGCTTTTTACAGCATAGAGGGAGTATTCCATTATTCTGGAGCCAGGAAAATTCTTCGATGGCAGCGAAACCATCCATTCAAGGTAATTCTAATTGACAAAGTCGATTATATTGACCCGTTCTACACTGCAACTGCTAAACATTTTGATGATTTGTACAAGCGATACGGAAGTCCGATAATCATTTTAAATCTTGTCAAGGTAGATGTAGCTTACATAGGCTAAAGAAAAGACAAAAAGAGAGTCAATTCTGTTGGAACATTTTACTACTGCTGTCGAGTATCTGAATCAGTCGTTGCCAGAAGGAAATAAAATGAAATATATTGCGTGGGATATGGCCAGGTAAATTTCATTAACTGCAGAGCTTCAAAGAGGTAAGCGCAAAGTAAAATTTCAGTTCAGATCAAGATGTAATTGGCACTTTAGAGAAAATGGCAGAGGAAGTCCTTAGTACAACAGATATATTTCATACCGGAATAGAGCTGTACTCTAATTCCATCAAAAAATCAAAGTATTAATATTTAACTAAGTAAAACTGGTGATTTGAAAGTTCATCCTGATGAAAGGCTGAGATTTCAAAGGGGAATACTTAGAACGAATTGCATAGATTGTTTGGATAGGACCAACGCTGCTCAATTTGTGGTTGGTAAATGCGCACTTGGCCACCAGGTAAAGTTTTATTAAAGGTTAGTTATACGCGCTGGGTATTATCGCCGAGCCTACAGTTCCTTTTGATTCAGATGCCATCAATATATTTAATGCCATGTACCATGATCATGGAGACACCATTGCGCTTCAATATGGAGGTTCACACCTTGTGAATACGATGGAAACATATCGTAAAATTAGTGCCTGGACAAGTCATTCACGGGATGTAATTGAAAGTATCAGGAGATATTATTCAAATTCTTTTGCGGATGCTGAAAAGCAAGATGCAATGAACTTATTTTTGGGTAATTATCAGGTGCAAAAGGAAGCTGTTGACCTTTGGGACCTGCCTACAGATTATTACTTGCATAATGCACACCCGCGAAATTTACCACCGGTTAAAAGGTGATATAGGAATTAATTCTAGTTATATTGACTGGTACACTCCTAAATACTTGAATAATGAAATACCAAGATTACTTTCCATTTCGGAAGATAATCAGTTTAATAATTTTGTAGAGTATTATAATCCGGCAAGTCTTACTGCGCTTGATAACCTTTTCTCGTACAGAATGATATCAACCCCGGCAAATGTCAGCAGTTTTACAGCAAAGCCGAATTCCGCGTCAGCTAAATCGCTAGTAATTTACAAGTAAAATTAACCTAATCTAGTTTGAACATTGGAGGGGTAAAGAAATGGCTGAACCCATCTACTAAACCTACGACGCCAAAAAAGAATGATTCCATAAGTTCGACAAAGACTTTGTCTACTCCAACAAATACTTTATTCACCACGGCCACATTAGTCAACAAGCTACTTTCCCCATCAGTTACAATTGGAGAAGAAAAAGAATATAGCAGGTAAGCAACGAATTAATAAGGTATATCCGACAATTCAGACCTCGGCATATCCTTACTCAGACAACGGCAGACGTTAACGAAGCAGATAACATCAAGGAACATCCAGATTTTGACTCTTTCACCCAGTATATAAAGAAACCACTCGCGCAAAACGAAGGTGAAGTCAAGGATGAAAAGTTGTATCAGGAATATGTACATGTATCTGGAAATACTGAATCTTATATTGGAATTGGAGCGAGGTCAAACGACATTTCCAGGTTCGAAGGATATCATCATTGGTTTGAGACTGGAGTTTACGTTCAAAGAAATAAAAGGGCTTCTAAATATTAATCAGCCATCGAGTGGTTTGAGTATGCAGAATGCCTCTTTATACAATAGAGTAGTTTATTAGACTTTAAACCCTGGGAGCATTTGCCATTGAAAAGAATAAAATTTGAAGTATATTTTTTGCATACACCATTTATTTTTTATTATTCATGATGGCATACAGTTCAAGCTCCCAGCCTTCCAATATCAAGAAAGTTGCCGGGAAATGTGTGGAGGAGACCAACTGCGTTTTAATAGGGAATTCAAAATTAAGGTTAAGAAAAGCTTAAATTAAACTTTAAGGTTAATGCACAACAATTGTACTCTTCAAGGATTTTCAACTCCGAATTAGTACAGTGGTTTAGTATACCGCACTCTCACTGCGGCGACCCGGGTTCGAACCCCGGATTCGGAGCCAATTTTTTATTTATACGCTGAGAATCAGACTTTCCAAGATAAGGATGTTCATAATTTTGAAATTTCAGCGCTGGGTCTTTTTATACTCCAGTTGGTGCATGATGCATAATTTGAAGTCAAGTGACCTCAACAGTTACCATATGCAGGGCAAGGTTTACTTTCAATTCACATTCTGATCAACCGTCGCTCGTTAGGCGATAATTAGAAGGAATCTACAAGGATAATAATTGCAGAGTAGCATCACTTGAATCTTTATTAAGGCTTGCATTTAACTTTCTTTGCGTCTAAAGTATAAAACGGTGTTAGTAATAATATTAATTCCGCAGAGGGTAGAACAAATCAAAAAGGTAGTGTTATAGCAGATCCTGCCTTTGCAGACCCCTTGTCCAGTAGCATCGCAGACCATTCCAAATAAAAGAGAAAGCAGAGTGCCACTAACACCAGCGCTAATAGTAATCCAGCCCCTAGAATAAGTTTAATTTACCAGTTCCTCGAAAACTTTTCCTTTCCAAAATATTCTCCAACAAGTACAGGTAATACGGTCCACGAAGATCCATCAGCGATCGCAATAAGAGTTGTGGCAAGGTACAAACCATCGATATTTGTTTGATAAAGAATAGCAATGCACCCGAACGTCATACATAATGCTGAAAGAATGGCCCATACAGTTCTTTGTATGTTAAAGTATTGTGCACAAATATCTGCTAAAAATCCTGTGAGAATTCTTGATCCAAAGGAAGCAATTGAAAGTAGGGATGCATGAGATTTCTGTAAAATTTGGGTGGTAGGATCCTTGGATGTCACTCCTTCTGGCAGCAGTGCAATGACTGAGTTAAATACTGATTACTTATAGCGCCAAGGTTATTAGTGTACATCAATCCAACTCCTACAACAAAGCTCATGTGCAATCCCAATAGGTACGCATTCAATGACCTAAAACAAGACACTTGTTTATCCTCGTTGTCTTCAACTACAGGAACACTGCCATAATTTTCTTCAACATTAATTTCAGTTTCCAGATCATCATTTGCAATTAGGTGTTGGGACTCTCCTTCTTCTAAATTCAACGGCTTTAAAGTAAACATTGCTAAAAAATTGATTACGAAACAGAATAGACCAAGGAACGACAGGAACTCTGATACTGACAGTATCTTGTTTACTGAATAAAAGGTCGATCCAATATAAGCAAAAATGAAAGCTGACAGACCAAAGAAGGAAACTGTCATGCCTACTGCTATCGATCTGTATCTTGCTGGCCAGTTGCCATAGTTTGTGGCTAGGGCAGTTTGATAGCAAGCACACCTGAATTAACATATAGTACGTTCCGATGCCCAGCAAAACAAAATAAAGTGCAACTACCATGAAATGCGGTTGCGGGAGTATTCCATCAAAAGTTAATGATGTCAATTTATACCCCAAAAAGATTGTTGATCCTCCAAATAGAAAGAATACCCAAGTGCGTTTTGGATAGACCGATAGCAATGATCTTGGTTAGAAAAAATTACCCCAATATTGGTCCAGAGCCAAAATTTCCCAAATTTATGCAGCTAGCAATAAAAGCAACTTGACTTTGGTCCAACTGCAATCGTTCTGCAAGTTGAGGGCCAAATAACGAAAAAACATATGCAGTTCCGGACGATACGCTTACTGCTGATGCTGCAATTTGTGAAAGAGCTATCTGCAAGTGTGTCATCTATCGATAAACTTGAAAGAAATTTCGAGCTATCAATTGCCATTTTAACCTTCAGACAAAATTGGTCAGAATTTCATTTCAGACACGCTGAACTGGAACGACTTGGAAAGCCAAACTGATTATTGTGAATAGAAAATTTAGGTATTTATATAGCTCTTTTAGGTATCCATAACTAGCATTTCAAGGATTTGTTCTTTTCCTTGCCACATTCACATGTCTCATACCATCTCCAAAACCCCCTATCTGGAATGAATCACCTTGACAATGAATGATTTTGAAACCACACTCCGATAACCGCTTCGCAGTAATCAATGTGAGACAGCCTAGATTATCAAGTACGTTGGGCGGACCAAAGATAAAGAAAATATTGATATATTATATTCAAGCAATATCCTTCTTCCGCTTCATCAACAAACCAAAATTAGCAACGATATTAATTCCACATGCTATGCAACAAATTACAAACGTATCGTAGTAACAAACATTTCCTTTACAGATAATTTGTCCTGAGGCATCGTACAGTTTCCCAAAGACAAATGAAAAGAAGGTACCACTCATTCCGGCTATAAATGTCATCCAGCCCCTAAGTATAAGTACGAATTACCAATTCTTTGAAAAATTCTTTTGGCCAAAATATTCTCCAACTAGAATTGGTATAACTGTCCAAGTTGATCCGTAAGCAATTGCGATCAATACCGTAACTACATATAATTCATCAACATTGGAGATATACAGAGCTGTTAAGCAACCTAATGTCATAAACCCTGCAGAAAATATAGCCCACACAGTTCGTTGAATGTTAAATTTCTGAGCGCATATATCTGCAAGGAATCCAGTGACAATTCGTGCACCAAAAGATGTCAATGATAATATTGATACATGAGATTTTTGTAACGCCTGAGTGAAAGGATCTTTGGAGGTCATCCCATCTGGTAACAGCGAGATCACTAAATTAACAAATAGTACCTATTGCTCCGACATTATTTGTATACATTAATCCAACACCAACTACAAACAACATATTAAGTCCCAACAAATATGCATTCATTGATCTGAAACACGAGATCTCTTCCAATTCTATTCCAATTGAAGGTTCGTGGGCTAGATCTAATTCATCATGTATAGCTGGGCTGGCGTACTGTTCATACTCGTCTGTGGTGTACTCTGTTTCTAAATCTCCATCATTCAATAATGGTTCAATTTCTTCTTCTGTTGCTTCTATCGGTAATGGCTTTAACAATACTATTGCGAAAAGATTAATAATAAGGCACAGCGTGCCTAGAAATGTAAGGAAATCAGAGACTAGCAATATTTTGTTGAATGCAAAGAATTTAGATCCAATAAACGCAAATATAAATGCTGATAATCCAAAGAATGACACTGTCATTCCTATTGCTATAGATCGATAATTTTCTGGCCAATTCCCATAATTAGTGACAAGCGAAGTTTGGTAACAAGCGCAGCTGAATTAGCACGAATTACCTTCCCATTCCAAGGATTAAAAAGTAAAGAGCAATAACAAGAAAGTGCGGCCGCTGTAGTATTCCATCAAGCGTAAGAGCAGTCAAGTTATACCCCAAGAATATAGCTGATCCTCCAAACAAAAAGAATGCCCAGGTGTATTGCGGATATGCAGCCAACAAATACCTACATTAATGCAATTTACCCCGCAATAGGTCCAGAAAAGTAGTTGCCTAAATTTGAACAACTGGCAATGAATGCAACTTCACTTTGACCTAATTGAAGTTTTTCTGCCAGTTGAGGTCCGTACAGTGAGAATACATATGCTGTACCGGCAGATACACTTACTGCCGATGCACTAATCTGCGAAATTGTCAGTTGCAGATTCGACATTGTCAATTTTCTAAGTGGAAAAATGTAGAATTGAAAAACCAAAGGCTTTGAATAATTAGTTTATTAATCACAAAGAATAGTTCCACATTTGCATGGCTCATCTTCTCTGATTGTTCTAAATGTAAGAGACCAGCGTTCAGTTCTTTCTTGCACCAATCCATCGATTATATCGACATTGCGAGGTTTAATTGCGTGCTGATATTCGTATCTTGCTTTCCCATCCATTACCACTAATGACCCACGCTCCAAAACTACTGATGTTACCTTTTCTTCCAGCGATTTGAAATCCATCACTATATCTGATGCCATGGAGAATATTAACACTGGTGATAAGAATGAGGAATGCCGATCTGTATGATACGGTATTCCACCTCCAGGTATATAGTGATTCATGGTTAATTGATTAGGCTTTGAATGATGAGGAAATTTCTGCATGTATCGATCAAGTATTTCGCTAGTCCATTCAGGTAATAGCACCAATTCATCTTTGAGATCTATTGCACGTCTATCCACATCATTCGTCGGGTAATCGAATCTATAACCATAATGTTGCACACTGCGCTGATGTAATATTTCCCATCTACCTAATTCACCCTGTTCTTTCACATGATTTGTTAATATCTCTTCTTCCTCTAGATTGACAAAGTTTGGTAGATAATATATCCCAGGCAGCTGTTCAATTTCCTCTTTAATTGTTAATGGCCGTTCAGGAAACTCTGGGAGTTTGTTTGCATATGCCAGTAACAGTGTCTTCTTTAATATATCTGATTGCTGACAGTCCAGTGCTTCGAATACTTTCTTGGCAGATTCATTTGTATCATAGAAAATGTACGAATATGGCTTTGAACCAACAAACATTTCGATTTTGGAGTATCCTCGGAATTTATCGAAAATTGATTTCAATTGCTTTCCAGTAATCAGCGAGTCGTAAGATGCATTAAGCGCAATCAATACTGGCGTTGGGTCAGCGGAAACCAGATTTTCTATCGAGTCATTCTCCATTCTTGACAGCAGCTCATACACCTCCTTTTTCTTTTTGCTGTGCTTGTATTTCATTAGTCAAAAAAATTCCAAGTCAAAATTAGAAATTAAGCAGCGGTTTTATTGCCAAATGGAAAACTGATATCAAAATCTTTAGCAGAGCTAAATAAATCTTTAACTTTTTCATGGTATTCCTTCATTGATCCCTTGTCAAAACCAGGGAAGTGCACACTAATAGGATTAGGGTCATAGTGTAAGCAACCCAAGTATGTATGAATGCCATCCTGTGGTGTGACATAAGCGGCAGATTTCCATGGCTCTTTTTGAACCAAACCTTCTAGAGCTTCTTGTTCTGGATTCCAATTGCCTTTGAATTCAGCAAAGGTGTCTTTCCAGGCATCCAAAAACCCACGTCCAATTTTAGAATTTCTAATTGCAAAGAAACCACTTCTGACGGCTCCAAATTTACC